CGTATAAAGCCCGCCCTGACAATTTGATTGGCCCGCCAGATATTGTGCTAGCATACTCGCGCTACTATTGAGCAATGCCAGACCGAACTTCCCGACCTCAAACCTTGTGGGCGGGACTAAGTTCAGAATGGCACCCAGGCTACAAAAATCACGCCATCTGGCGGAAAATCACGCAGCTTTTTCAAATCATGCGGCTTTTTCAAATTACGCGAGAATGTGTACAAAACAACAAATATGGCGCCGACAACGCTTTTGGGTCGTTTTCTTCGAATGTAGGTGATTTTTAAGTGATTATGCGAATAAAATGATTCACGAGTACAATAGCGCTTTCTACCTTGTTTGTCGTTTTGGTAACTACATCAAAATTACCGCTAGGTGGACAAAAATCACGCCATCTGGAGGAAAATCCCGCAGCTTTTTCAAATCATGCGGCAACGCTTCTGGGGCGTTTTCATCAAATGTCGGTGATTTTAAAGTAATTTTGAGTAATGGATTTTTTTTTTTTGCGATCATTGCACTTGTTTGTTTTTGCCTCATTGTCAGACTTTGCTCAAACCTGCAGACTCTGTGGCTCCTTTAGTCTTTATTACTGACTGATCAACTGGATGATGGTTTATTTCAGACCAATGACTAAACTAATAGTTTTAATTCGGCTGGCAAATGCAATGAAATTTGATCTCTCGCAAAAATGAAAACTACTTGCCCCAGGAGATCGAGCCCTGATCTATAGACGAAGAACAGAAAGTCAACAAGTAATGAAATGATGACACTCTGAGCTATGGAAGGTCAAGAAGAGCATTGGTGGAAAAATAGTCATTTCCAAAAAATCTAAATTTCATAACAAATAAATTTGGTGAATAAATAAAATCTAGGAATCGACCAGCCCTAGTTTCCAGCAGAACAACCACCCTAAACTTACAGACAGATATGATGGATCCTGATTAGATCTAAGAAGATCAATGGTTTAGAATGGCCTAGTCAAAGTCCAGACCAAGTTTCAACTGAGAAACTGCAGCAAGACTTTATTCCCCATCCATTCTTCAACCCTTACTTAATTCAGGTTTAAACCTAAGATGAGTCATCAGTTTATAAGCTTTAAATGAACCGAGGAAGCTTTAACATTGTGGATGTTTGCTGCTCTCTGGCTTTCCCTGTTTTAAAGCTGACTTTCTTATTCAGTCTGCAGCAGGGTAATCTGAAATCAGGGCTCTAACCTCTGATGGCTGCGGTCTCAAATTGTGGCGGTATCGCAGCTGAAGTGGGGCTAATTTTTCCCAGTGCAGGCGAGCTGATCGTTCACCTGTTTTAATCTGCTTCCATTCATCGCCCCCCCCTCATCCTCTTCCCCACCAGCTGACAGATGTGCGGACACATCAGGGACGCCGTGACTAATCAGCGGGGATCCTCCTTCTCCAATCACGCTGGATCAACCGACAGTTTGTCGCCATAGCAACCGTATCTCAAGATGTCACGCTTTTTGTTGCAGGTGGAGACACAGAAATGATTGCCTCAGCGAGGTGAAAGGCAGAGGGGGAAGACGGCGGTCAAGGTTCGCTGGCAGATGGAGAATGGAGACCTGGGTCACATGGTGCGTGTCTTGATTTGATGACCTAAACCCATCACATACAGCTGATATGATTCAGATTAAAGGCCAGAGGATCAGATTAATAACACTGTTGTGACCAGCAAGTTTTTTTTTTCTGTTTAAATTTTGAATAATTAAAAACCAAACAAAGTCAAAGCATAATCTACAGGAGGAAGTCCGTCCATCCTTTGCGGTCTCGGGAATGTTGCTGCTCTGCACTGA